TTGTTATTTTTTTTGTAATTTTTGATGCTCTTGACTTTTTTCGTTAGCTACACCTCTTATAGTCAAAGGGCTAGCGGTCAATCCGAGTAGTGTTGACATTTTTGGATAATAATCTTTTATTGAAATTATTCTGTCAGCTGTCAAAATAGCAGCCGTATGAGATACTATTATTTTTGAATGTGTTACTATATACTATGGAATCCATTGTGTTTAAAAATGTCTTGTTAATCTTTGAGACTCATCATCAAAGACATATCTATTTTTTATTACTCCTAAAAATTCCACCCGCTTTTATCTTAGTCATTACTTGAGATATACAATTACTGAGGCCCTTCCTATGGGGTCTCAGTATTGCATTCGTGCAGACGAAAACATTTTCTTACCCCCATTTTTTAAAACTTTTTTTTATGTTTCCGATCATTCTGAGTCCGAAAATGTTAAAAAAAATTCGTGTATGTATACCGGGACGATAACTCTAGAACGAAAGTTCTGATTGACTTGTGGTTTTGATTTTCTTGAATAATTACTTCTTACTTAGAACCCTATTGATTTTCAGAATTTTCGGTTCATCCTAACTAATTTAATATAAATCCGGTTATGCAGTTCTTATATGACAATTTTAGAAATTCCAATTATTTCTAACGTCAACATTCCTAGCATTCTTAAAATTCCATAAATTGCAAACATTCTCTAACGACCTGTCGAACAACAGCTGTTGATAGTAATGGTGAAATTTCTAAGGCGGGTTGCGACCTTTATACTTACAACCATAGACATTTTGGAGGCTATTTTTATTTGAAATTAGTCGCCAAGCCTGCCAATTTATGAAATATATATATGCAGTTTCTTAAAAATGACTTTTTATGGTGGTGCTAACTTAAGCGTACTACTATTTCGCCCCTAGCCACAAAAACACTTTCATAAAATTTACTGGCTCTCTGTCGTAACCCCATAGAATAATTAACCGGCCATTTTAATCAGCCAAAATCAGAATAATGCTTGGCTGTGCCTGTCAAGTATCAAGATGTCAACTGTGATCTGTGAATGGCTCTTGAATGTCAAATTATTTAAAAATGTATGCTTCTTTTGATATTTATTGCAAATAATTTGTAGTGTATCTCAATTCAGGCTTTCCATAAATAAAGGTACAGCAAGACAGATAATATAATGTTCTTATACAAAACACTTTTTTAATATATAAAAGAGAGGTAGGAAATAATGCTGGTTTTTGTAGATAAATTTAATTATACGATTTTGGATTACATATTCAACCAGCGAATTGTAAATAATAATTAGTAAACTCCTAGTCATAAATTTCCTCAATTCATAAAATTTAAAAATGAATCTTCTTACCTTGGGATTTTAATGACGTAATGTGATCAACCCATTTCAAATTTTGATCAATTATGATACCGAGGTATTTTGTTGTTTTTCATTTTAATTTTAAAGTTATCATTTATTTGTATGTTGAAAGAAGGCCTTTGTAAATTACATTGCTCTCTATGGATCTACTCCAACACAAAAATAACCTATCGTCGCAAAAATATTAATAATTTAAACATAGTAAGTAGTATTAATATAACATCAAGTAATTTTTTTAAAATAAAGTACATGATCTCAAAACAGAAATAATTTATAATAAATGCGGGTAAAACTAGAGGTAAATTAACAATAAATTTAGGGAAATACTTAAAAAGGGCAGGTTTAAAGAGTATTATCGCGAGAAAGTATATCCGTTCTGTCTATTTATCAAGTATTGTTAGAGGTTACTTTTGAATACATTTATTGTTGTTTTTTTTTTAATTTCTGTAGGCAGTCTATTAAATTTATTAAACCTTTAATAAAAATTGTATTTTGGGAACCTTTAGTGATGGCTTGCCGTACATGAAAGTCTGATTGGCTTCTTGTATTATAGTTGTGATATTCCGAATTATATTAAATTTTTTCTAATAGATCTAATGCGATGGTACTATGTCATTTTTATTTCATAAATAAATATCAGTCTGTACTGAACATAATTCTGAACTGAAGGCCAATTTATTTCTTTTAACATAGTACGAAATTAGAAAAACAGTTTTATCTATTATGTTTATATACATATAATACACAGGAGGTTTATCATTACATATTCTTGAAGTATTTAAATAAATCCTTCAAAAGACCATATCTTAGATTTAATTTAGTAGCGCACTTTTTTGTAAATTTGAAATCCCCAGCAAGGGATAATTTAGAGTAATTCTGAGGTATAAATAGTACCTTTTACTCAAACATCTTCTTGTAAATGCTTTAAAAATTTCTTCTTAACTCCAAAAGGCCCATGGTTTATTCTTTAAAATGATTTATAACTATGTATTTTTAACCGACTTCAAAAAAGGAGGAGGTTCTCAATTCATCGTAATATTTTTTTATGTATGTTCAGCGATAATTCTTTAACACAGTCTCCGATTTCAATGATTATTTTTTTGTTGGAAAGGGGGTACTTCAGGGGTGGTTCCATATTAATTTGGCCAAAATCTAATAATTGGGTCGATTGAAAAATTCAAAAAGAATTTAAAGACAGTTCAACGAAAACAAAAACTCAATAATTAATTATTATACATAAAATAAACGCAAAAAATAAAACATAGTTCTGGGAGCTACCAAAAATTCCAAAACAAATCGCTATCACAGAACGCTATGAACAAAAACTCAAAATGTCAACTGTCACTATCAAGCGTTTGTTCACCACATCAAGCGGCCGGCAAAAGATTCATCACAGCGGTAGCAAACAATGACGTCAGTGAATGACGTCATAACACTTCCCTCTAATTGGTCACGTCACAAAAATGATACGGGTAATACTGTTTGATCACTGGGAGTTCGCCAAAAATTGGGACCTAGACTAGGTAATAAATAGAGGACGCGTAACAATACATGCAGCCGAAGAAGGTGCGTATACTAATAAACATAATTAAACATATATTTTTTAAAGTACTTTTCATTATTATGTTATGAACTTTTAAGAATTTCGCAACCTTTTTGTGGATAATTCAAAACATTACCATAATAATTGGTTGTTTGTAGGACTTAAAAAGAAGAGTATTGCATTTGGAAGCTGAGCCAGGCCCTTCAAACAGAACTTCAAATAAGGAACCTATCCTAGAAAGCCCTAGCATAAAATGTCTTTATAAGACAACTTTTACACGAGCTAGAAAACAATAAAGAAAAAACAAGACAAATTAAAGTTCTTAAACAAAAACTAAAAATATATAAAATTCCAAAACATATGTTGTGATAAACGATTGAAAATAAAAACTATGACCGATTAAACCAAGGAAATTTTTATTTAAATAAAATTCTACTACGGTCAGGAAATTATCCTTATTCAAAAAAAAAGAGTTATTTCGCTAAAACTTTTTGTTATTATACCAAATTAGTATTATTTAAGGGTCAGTTATAAATTTATTTTCATTGATGTATAATTTTTCTTACTAGCTTAATTTAATAATACCCAGGTAGCTCACTACATTTTAAAGACGTCCAGTTCATGTCTTACTTTCGTCCAAACGTCCTGGTACGTAAAACGGACGGTTTAACATGTTTAAAACGTTTTTGTTGGGATGTTTTTAGGACGTTTTAAATATGTCGGTAATGTGGACGCTCAACTCTTTTAGCTATATTTGAATAAGGCGCCACGACACCGTTCTTGACGCTGCCTGCAGCGCTTGTAAGATCGTCATTTGTCATTGTCATTGGCTGATTGGATAGTCTCGCACATGGTATACCGGAACTAGTAAACTTTATCATTAAAGCCGGTAAGTTTTAATTTATTTGCCTGTTAATTTCATAACCTCACTTTAACATTATTAATGTCTTATTTCTTAGAAAAACACCTTAAAACAATAATTCAATAAATTATATGCTACGGGGATATTAGTTACAGACGCTTTGGCTAAAAATACCAGAAAATAAATTTTTAAATCAACCAAACTGGATAAAAGTAGGATTTCCGGGAATAGTTTCTCATAGCAACAAGTACTTGAAGTAATTTTCTAATTATTTTATCCAACACTGTAAAATAATATTTACTCTGTGTCAGTTTTAATAGTTAAATAATGTATAATAAACAGTATTAAATATATTTATTTTTTTAAATGAATTTCCGTCAAGTAAATAGATGACTTAAACACGTCCAATATGGTTTGCCTTCAAGACGAACAAAACTGGATGTCTTAAAGACGTACAAAATTGAATGTCCTAAAGACGATTTGTTTTGTAACAAAGTACGTTCTATAGACACCTTTAAAACATCCTTTGGATATTAGCGTAGATCTTCAAAACGTACGAACGTCGTGAACAAACGTATTAAAGATATCTTTAAAACGTGTCTGTGCTATCTGGGTAGTGTCATTCTTTATTAACTAAAAATAAATCTTTTTGTAATACATGTAGATCATTGTTTTATTTTGCGGAATTTTAAAAAAAGCACTCATTTTGTTATGTAAACGATTTTATTCAGTTTATTTCAATATATTTTTTCTTGTGTCTTATTTATTGTTACTTATTTATTTTAAATTTTACGCTTTGAACTTGATTTATACCTAAAAAGATCAATAAAGTACTATAATAACATAAATACAAGTTCTTTTTTTTTATTTCCAACATGTTACGCCTTTGGTCGAATATCGTTGGTGCCAGAATGGAACAAGATTTTCAGCGGCGTTTGAGTCCTCTCTTTATTACCTAGTCTAAGTACTGGGCCGACCCTGTTACATCTAACGGAAATACGGCAACACAGTGTGCTGCTCTCCCATTAGAAATGCATTGCCCATGTCTGGCCATATTGCATTCTCAGTATGTCCCGAACTATAGTTTTTTGTATTAATGGTAAGTATAAGATAAGGATATGTAACCGTGTTTACTACATTTACTAATGTTCCTACCAGAAATATGGATGTTTAACATCTATCGATGTTATAAAGGTATTGTTTTTCAGATTAGTTGAATAATAAATACAAAGTTTATAAAAAAAACTAACTATATTTTTTAATATAAAAATAATACAGACTTAAAATAATATAAAATAACTTAAGGCTTGCATTCTTCTCTGTCGGAATTTGCTGGCCAATCACATACATTGAGACCAATATGAAAGACAGTTCCTGGTTCGCAACTGAATACCATGGGTTTTCCGTGATCGCAACGGTAATACTAAAAGGAATATAAATATTATTAAAGTTTAGTCCTAATTTTCCATAAATACACTTTAGTTTTTTTTTAATTAGGGGCAATTTTAAACCAATGAAAATATGAAAAGTTGAAAAAAATGTCTGCTCTGAGCGGGGCTCGAACCGGCGACCTCTGGAGCTTTGTATCTGGCGTCCTGGTCGTTAATTTGAGTATTTAGATTCAATCCGAACTCAATTTATTAGAATCCCTTTGAAATCTTCTTTAATAGTAACCTATGTGGCATCGTCGAAGGTACATAATATCACGTAATGTCCCGCCCAGAGCAGAATTTTTTAAAATATTCTTTGGATATTATCACCCCTGATTACCCTAGCATTTGTTTCGGCAATTTAACAGACAAAATATTCTATATAAACCTTCAGTTTATTCATCATTTTCAACATTTTTTTAATTACTTAAATATAAATGAAATTTAAAAAAAGTATTATTGTGTATAATAAATTTACTTTTGTGCGTTACTTTACACACCTCAACTAATATAATAAGATTAATATTACTATTTTGATAAAATGTAATAAAAGTTAACTACGTACAATGTAAGTACTTTGAAATATATTGATGTATTACCTTATTACAGTCTTTATGAGGCAAAAAATCTCCTTCACATTCGGTGAAATTATCACTATCATCTGGAGTACTTGGGACAGGAGATGAACTCGTAGATACAGGAGCTGACGTTGATATTGACGTTGATGGTCTTGAAGGAATAGTAGGTGGCTGTGTTGGTTTGGTTGCCGATGAGGAACCGCCAGATGGTGTAGTGCTCTTTGGTCTGTCCCATTCGGGCTGCAACCAAAATATTATGTTTATAATTATTTATAAACTAACGTTTACAAAGCTTTAGCATTTGTGCATTGTTAGACAATTTAGTGTACTTTTTGTGATATAAAAAAATGTAATCTATTATCCACTAATTATTTTGAAATCTCAATCAATCTTCTCTCACCCTTGGAGTTGTAGACACATGTGGCTCAGGGACATCATAGGAATCCATGTTGGCATGTAAAATATGAATTAAAGTATTTTTCGGACCGCATAAACCATGGAAGTCATCCATATCTATGGCCCAAGTCATGGCTCCAGCATATCCTTTGGATTTGATCCAATCCATTTTGATTTGGACTGATACTGGGTCTTCATAACCAACCCATTGGGTTCCTAAAAGGAAAAAATACTAGTATTAATATACAATCTATACAACATTTAGAAAAATGAATGTTACAACAAATATATAATACAATAATTAATAGTAGTTCAAAATAATTCAAACGTACCTTTATAGGCATATGGTACCTTGCCTTGTTCATCCCATTTTTTGGTCCATCCGCCATCTTCGTTTAGAAGTTCTGCGCAAATCTAAATAGCAGAAAAAATAATTAAATTTTAATAATAATAATGAATTAGTTTTGTACCTCATAGTAAGCTAAGAATCCTGTAGCGTTCGTGTAAGGCCCTGGAGCTCCACCACCTGCTTCTTTGTTAATGTAGGTACCCAAATTGTAGTTATTATTTCCTGCACTCAAAGTATAACTTCTTCCATAGAAAGGTATTCCCACGACAAGTTTCTTTGGAGAACAACCAGAGTCCACCCACAATTGAAGTCCATCGTTCTATAAGAAATATACTTTTATTAATACTTTGCCAATACAGAGCAATCTACAAAATGTTAAGCTATAAAAAATATGCCGATGTCTGTATTCTAAACACCAAGAAGCTGGTAATAGTGAACGAGTAAAAAAGGTGCAAAGTAATGATGAATGATAATATAATCGAGTTTAGTCACAAATAGTAAAACATGTCAAAAATTAGGGGAAGACCGAAAACATGGTGATATTACTGATTGCCTAAGACGAAGAGTAAGAAGCGTTATAGAACCGAATGAACGAAATGTAAGAATGAAGATATTTTCAGTAACAGTCCAAATCACATTACTGTTCAATAAGAATAAAGTTATAGGTGATGGAAAAGATAGGAAAAGAAAGAAAAAAGTCGAATATATAGGGACCGTTATATAGTTTGACTAATTATAAAAATTTGTACGTTAAAACAAAAACATCTGTATATTATGTTATTTATGTGAAAAATACCCGTTTTGATGTAGATTCGAGGTACGCATCAGTACAAAATGAAATTGAAGATTTGCATTTAGATTCATACATTCATTTCTATCTCCTTTGGAATTAAATGTTAGATTAAATTAAGGAGTAAACGACTGGTATACAGGGTGTACCAATAAAAACTCCCAGACCGGATATTTTGGTAAGTAATAGAGATATTTTAATTCTGTAAAAGCCAGTCCAAGAGAGCTTCAGTTTTAGATATAAATTAATTTTAAATAGGTCAATATGTAGATGGCGCTGAACTCAATATTTTTTTTTCGATAGGCGGATCTTTCTTATATAGCACATCTTGTAAAATATGCATTTTTAAGCAAATTTTGTTCTATAAACTAATGCGATAAATCTAGCCATTTTTGATATACAGAGTGGGTCACTCAAAACAGTTAAATCCTGTTTTTCGTCATTAATCATTGGACTTTAAGAAAATGCTAAAACAGGTTGATTTTTATTCCAAATTGAATATATTTTTACAATACAGACATCTGTCATGTGTCAATTCCCTCCCTTCCATTTCTCCAACCCCTTAATTTTAAATAAGGAATGTACCATGTACGGCACATTATTAAAAAGGTAATTTTATGGGAAAGTAAGAAATATTACTGTTTATTGCGATACTTTTAATTTTAGCGCCCTCTATCAGGATAAAAAAACCTGTAACGTATTATAAAGTGTGACACTTCATTTGAAAGCTAATTTAATTACTAATTCAATGCACCACATAACATTAATATAAATATTTCCATATTGCACTTGCAACAAAATAAAGTTAGCAATAATATTTAAAACAATGCATGACTTATATTCAAACTATTGCAAGTGCAATATGGAGGATATTGATATTATGTGGTGCATTAAATTAGTAATTAAATTTGTTTTCAAATAAGGTGTCACACTATATAATACGTAGTTTTTTTATCACAATATAGGGCGATACAATTAAAAGTATCGCAATGAACAGTCATATTTATAAATTCCCCATAAATTTACCTTTTTAATGATGTACTACACATTGTAGTGTCACTCTATAATACGTATCATAGTTTTTTTATCCCGCTAGAGGGCGATAAAATTTAAGTAACGCAATGTACACAAATATTTCTGTATCCCCCATTAAATTACCTTTTCAATGATGTGCCATACATGGTACATTACCTATTTAAATTAAGGTATTGGAGAAGTGCAAGGAAGGGGGCTGATACATGACATAGTATTAAATTGTTTTTAATTTGGCATAAAAATCGACCTGTTTTAGCATTTATTTAAAATCCAAAGAAAAATACTGAAAACAGGATGAAACTGTTTTGAGTGACCCACTCTGTATATCAAAAATGGCCAGATTTATCGAATTAGTTCATAGAATTAAATCTGCTTAAAAATGCATTTTTACAAGATGCGCTATACAAAAAAGATCGTCCCATCGAAAAAAATTATTGAGCGCAGCGCCATCTTACATATTGACCTATTTAAAATTAATTTATATCTAAAACTAAAGCTCTCTTAGTGAACTGGCTTTTACAGAATTAAAATACTTACCAAAATATCCAGCCTGGGAGTTTATATTGGTACACCCTGTATATTTTAGAAGTTTCTACTATAAGTGAAACAAAGGCAGGTGAAAAATTAATGATTACTGATGATGAAGATTATGATGACAACTGAAATTCCTTCAGGGAATATTAAAACTTTTTAGAATCGCTTATAATAATAAGTGACTTTTTATATCGCTTATAGCATTTTAGTTTTTATTCCCAGGTACTCACTAATCTCAGCTTGCGTGCAGCCTGAGGCGAGAGCTATAGGAGCGAACAGCTTAATATATCTTGCTTTGTCTAACCGGGTTTAAACATGCGTATTCTATTCCATAGACAGGTTTCCTTATCCACTTCGCTACAATGTCCGTTTGCAATTAATATCACTTACCACAGGGTAACGGCCCTGCTTAGCAAGTTCACTATTGTGTATCGATATCTGCAGTTAAGCAAGGGGTGACTATCTTAAAGAAAGGCGACGTACTTATAAATCCCAAACAAACTTCACGCTGCCTGCTGCGGCGTTATATCAATGCGTACGTGGTATAGCGTGTGGTATGCCATTTTCCGAAGGAGATGTAAAACCGTCGATCCCGAGTCCATTCAGCCGTACTAAGCGCAGAAGCGGTAACTGCATATGTTAGTTACCGCTTCTGCGCTTAGTACGGCAGCATAGATGTTGGGCTCGATAAAGATCCCCACCTCTGGTTGAAACACCAGAGGATTTGGCTAAATTTCTGGTGTTTGAGGGTATCGTGCTCACCAGCATCGCTTTTAAACCTGGAAATAGACCAAATAAATAATAAAAATCACTTACCACATTTAATTTTTCGTATGCCCATTGGTCATGTGGTCTTTTGTAAAGAGGGCTGTGAGTATCTGCAAAACCTGCCCAGTTTCCTCTTAGATCATACGACATTACGTGAACAGCATCTACCAACCTAAAACAAAACAAAAAAATATTATATATGTATAAAATATAATAATACTTCTACGAGGGTCATTCAATAAGTAAAAAGACAAATTGCTATAGCTCAAAACCGGTTTATTTCAATCTTTCAAAATTAAGGCTATTTTTCAACATAATCACCCCACACAGTTATGCACTTGTTCCATCTTTCTTGCAGCTTCCTAATTCTCTTGGCGAAAAATTCTTTCGATTTACCCCGAAGCCACTTTTGCACTGCTTCCTTAACTTCCTCATTGTTAGCAAATCTTTTTCCACGTAGGGCGTTTTTGAGTGGTCCAAACAGGTAAAAATCAGATCGGGACTGTAGGCAGGATGAGGTAAGATCTCCCAACCCAATTCTTGAAGCTTATTACGGGTAAGCTGGGCTGTATGAGGGCAAGCGTTATCGTGCTGAAGAATGACTTCTTTTGACAAGAGTCCACGGCTTCTGCTCCTGATAGCTGGTCTAACTTTATGTTATAGCATCTCAGAGTAGTATTGGCTATTAATAGTTCGCTGATCTTCAAGGAAATTGCAATAGACTGGACCCTGTGAGTCCCAAAAGATGGTCAGCATCACTTTACCGCCGGAAGGTTGAACCTTGATTTTTTTGCGAACTGGAGAGCTAGTGTGTTTCCACTCTATACTCTGCCTTTTGGTCCCAGGGTCGTAGTGATGGATCCAGACCTCGTCGCTGATCACTATTCCTTCAAAAAAGCGTCTCCTTCAATCAAACTTCGTTGCTTTAAGTCTTGACTAATGGAAAGCCTTGATTCTTTATGAGTGTCAGTAAGCTGTCTGGGAACCCATCTGGCACACGTTTTTCTGTACTTTAAATTTTTCTGAATGACATTGTGAACAGTTCCAACACTTACTTGAACTTCCTCAGCTATCATTTCAACAGTAATTCTTCTGTTATCACGAATAAGTCCGTCAATCATCGATTCCAACGAGGGACCAGAAACTTCCACTGGACGTCCACATCGGAGTTCATCACCTACATTTGTTCGGCCACTTTTAAATCGATCAACCCACTTGTAAAAATTCGCACGGTTTATACAACTTTTACCGTCCTGTATCAACATTCTAGAAAATATTTCACTTGGTTTTACACCTTCTGCGACTAAAAATCTAATGACTGAGCGCTGCTCTTCTAAGGTGCAATCTTCTAGTGGACTTGCCATGGTGAATTGAAAATTTTGAGGTTATGTTGACATAAAATGATGAAACAGCTGATCAGAGCATATCCCAAGGTTGCCAACTAACACCCCTGAAAAGATTGTACATATTCATTGAATAGTTTTAAAATTATAGAATTTGTCTCTTTACTTATTGAATGACCCTCGTACATTTTTTAGTATTTTCATAATAAAATTAAATAATATGGGTACCTATTCGCTCAGTGTGAGGTCATGGTAGGGGAAGCAAAAGTGATAGTAGCGCTAGCTGCGGATAATTCGTGCATTTTAGGGCGATATTTTATAATTTTGGCATATCAAATACACGTATACATTTTACTTTTTTTTTAAAAAGAAGGTAAAAACAATACGATAAAGAACCAAAAAAAACAGTGTAAATTATAAAAATTTTCAGTAGCAAAGTGTAAACTAAATCAAAAAAATAAATGGATAGGCGTCCAATAAGAAGAAAAATTACCTTTATTTTTGTAATAATATCAGTAATACTGGAAATAGTAGAAATCAGAAACTTGAAAGGTTTTTAATAAACAATAAATTATCATTTTAGGATGTTCTTCAACATACCTTTAATCTTAAATGTTTAGCAAGAACTAGATTTCTGCCTTTGATTATTGTATGTGACTGGAAAGCAAATTTTGTGACTTACTGATAGGAAACCAGTTTTAATCATTTATTCAATTTTCTTTCGAACAAAAATGAAAATATAAATAACAATCCTTCTGTAATTTTACGCTATTATTTAATGTTACTTTTTATTTTGGCAGAATAGATTAATTCTTCAAAGACAACTTATTAGTCTTAGGCAACGTTTCATACATTGTCCCGTAAATACTGTTGCTTGCCTATATTTTATTAATAATTTTTATTGATCATATTTAATAATAATAATAAATTAATGTTTTACTTGTTTTACAAATCTGGACCTTAGAGTATTAAGTTCATTTTACAAAATTTTATAAGAGAACTTGTTGAAACTTTTGACTGCTTATATTTTTATTTGGAAAACTAGAATTATAGGACAATACTTAGCACCAATAGAAGAAACAGGAAAAATTATGTAGGAGTAATCAAAACAAGAAAATAAAAAAAAGGTGGACTCAATACTGTTTGGCTCTGAGGTCCAGAAATCCATATACTTCTATTAAAACTAACATGTATTCTTTTTAATTACAAATTCTATTAAAAAATGTATTGTCACTATTTGTAAAAATAGTCCATTAGTACATAAATGAATTGGCAATGCTGTTGCGCACGGAGCAAATATTCTTTGCTAGCGAGAGTCTATGTGACAACAATTTTTGGTTCGTGATTGGTGCCATATAGTAAAAAAACACTTTCACTGCTCAGTTCTCTAAGCCCACCGTACTTTTGTATTTAAAAATACAGACGTAGTTTAACTTACTTTACATTTTGGATGGAAATAGGTTTACTTTTATAGAATTTGGTAAACTGGTAAACAAATAAAACGCAGGAGACGCGTTAAGGGCACTCAGCTATAAAAAATTCCCAACAATTTTTTGAATAATAATAATTTTATCCAATATATCCTGAAAACGGTAGCTGCGTAGTCTTTATACGACACTCGCGTATGACCCGTGACGTAATTGTCTTTTGAGCTATTATAAAATGCTTATTGCATCTATTTTAGTACATTATTTAGTAAAGCGTAAATTAACCGATGGGTAACCGAAATACACATTTCCATTTGAATAAATTAGGCGTTAAAAAGTGAAAGTTATATCTTAAAATGATTATTATCAAATTAGCTAAGTGTCAACATTCTATTGTTACTTATCAATGTCATAAAATCTATGACACTTATTTATATTCATTACTTATTACTCATTATTTATTGTAACATTTTTAAATGGAATTTTTTCCCATTAAAGAAATGATACAATTTCATATTTGTTTCAATAAACATTGTATTAAATATTTTAAATTTTTCAGAAAAGGAATAAACATCCAGATTTATATATTCAAAAAGTTCTATAATATTGAAATATTTCAAACAACTAAGTTGGTAATTTAGATATATTTTTGTTCAATATTTTTATACGTATTGCATACGTATTGTATCTAATATATTATATCGAATGTATTGTTGTCAATTAATAAAAGTTTCACTTACTCGCATAATTCCGGAACATAATATCCCTCCTGAAGCCTGAATTTGGCCACTGGAACTGCAACTGTAATTTCCCATCCTTTTCCCACTTTATTAAACGCCGTTCTAAGTTCTTCCACAAAATAGAAGAATTTGTCTTTATCGGAGAAGCTACCACCACGATCAGCAGCACCAGGGTATTCCCAATCTAAATCGAAACCATCAAGGTTGTATTCGATAAGGAAATCTGCAAAGAAAATATTATCGTGAACACCTAGGCTCGTCTCTATTTATTGGCTCAGTTAAACTGCCATCATTTTTTATTAAAATTATGAAAGATTTCATCTATACCTAAAATTAATAGTCTCCATCTATATCTTTGTTACTTACTGACAACACTGTTGATGAATATGTCTCGTTTTGATTTATCTGCCACCATAGCCGAATATTTGGAGCCTCCTTCAGCCCACCCTCCAACGGCAACTTCTAATTTTACATTAGGATGTTTCTTTTTAATGTCACTGAAGTTTCTGAATCCATTTTGATCAATATCCAACTAAAAATATAAAAACATTAGATATGGAAACTAATAATAAATGTTTCATCCAAAATCAAAGGCATTAATCCATATTTATACAATTTAGATGCTTGAATTTATAAATAAATGGACCGATCCACAAAAAAATGATTCTAAAGTAAGATATGAAAAAAAAAAAAATAAATAAGGTAGTTATGTCATTTTTTAAATGACTGTTTGGATTTAATTATGGATTACATTAGAAACATTTTTTTTTTAAACATATTTGGTCCTTTGAGCCGGATCACAATGGAAGGAAATTTTAGAAGTTTCTTCCAATTCTTCTTATTTTGGTGTACAAATTTATTGATCTGGACAGTATACAATTTCTCCAATCA